AAAGACGAAAGTCTTTCATCTGCAATATGTTATATACAGACAAAAACACACATTAAACAAATCAAAATAAAGCATTGAGAATGATTAACATTTTGACCAGCATCATACAATCGACTATGTGCTAATGAACACCTGAGATGGACACAATCTTATTCAATAGAAACTTATGATATAATTACAAATATGTAGATACAAGCCGAATATTTATCAATAGCAGCGATCACAAATATATGTAAGTTGCAATAACATGTACTATCGTAATAATCCCTACTTTTCATATTCCAGTTATACTTATACATATATTAAATCATAAGTACATATATTACTTAGAAATCAAATTGCTAACTCAGATGATTGGAAACAGGCACTAACCATTAGCTGTCAGTCAGATCTCGAACTGCCAGTTCGATCACGAAGAAATTGATTTGAACTGATCACTAAAATTTGATTGGTGGACGCAGTTTGTTTTACTCCTTGAATGAACTTTAAATCTTTCATCTTAATTAGGTACTCGTTGGTAATATATACTGAGTCTATCAGTAGAATATAATACAATTATAACAACTAATAATGATAAATATCATTGACATACATGTAGTATTAACATATCGACAATATCAATATCACATTATATTAATAAAACATTAGGGAACAAAAAATAATCAGGAAATACAAATGTTGCATGAGGAATAAGGTCAGATAGTGACCCAACTATAGAATAAGGTCAGATAGTGACTCAACTATAGAATAAGGTCAGATAGTGACTCATCTAAAGAATAAGGTCAGATAGTGACCCAACTATAGAATAAGGTCAGATAGTGACTCAACTATAGAATAAGGTCAGATAGTGACTCATCTAAAGAATAAGGTCAGATAGTGACCCAACTATAGAATAAGGTCAGATAGTGACTCAACTATAGAATAAGGTCAGATAGTGACCCAACTATAGAATAAGGTCAGATAGTGACTCAACTATAGAATAAGGTCAGATAGTGACTCAACTATAGAATAAGGTTAGATAGTGACTCAACTGAGGAATAAGGTCATATAGTGACTCAATTGAAGAATAAGGTCAGATAGTGACCCAGCTGTAGAATAAGGTCAGATAGTGACCCAACTGTAGCATAAGGTTCAGATAGTGACTCAACTGTAGAATAAGGTCAGATAGTGACCCAACTATAGAACAAGGTCAGGTAAGATAGTGACCCAACTATAGAATAAGGTAAGATAGTGACTCAACTGAGGAATAAGGTCAGATAGTGACCCAAGTGTAGAATAAGGTCAGATAGTGACCCAAGTGTAGAATAAGGTCAGATAGTGACCCAAGTGTAGAATAAGGTCAGATAGTGACCCAACTGTAGAATAAGGTCAGATAGTGACCCATCTAAAGAATAAGGTCAGATAGTGACCCAACTATAGAATAAGGTCAGGTCAGATAGTGACCCAAGTGTAGAATAAGGTAAGATAGTGACCCAACTGAGGAAGAAGGTCAGATAATGACTCAACTGTGGAGTAAAGTCAGATAGTGACTGGACTAAGGAAAAGGTCAGATAGTGACTCAACTGTGGAATAAGGTCAGATAGTGACTGGATTAAGGAAAAATGTCAGATAGTGACCCAACTCTGGAATAAGGTCAGATAGTGACTGGACTAAGGAAAAACATCAGATAGTGACTCCTCAAGGGAATAAGGTTAGATAGTGACCCAACTAGTGATATTGTCATTGCGTAAAATATATGATGTGTATGTGCTTGGTCAGTAAGCTTATTTATACTCGTCGTTTGAGTCGAAATTTGGAACATTTACCACAATCCCTTGAATTTCGAGATAACAAGTTTCGACTGTATATTTATATATGCATGTTAATTCATTTCAGATGTACAAGTGACCCTTACTCCAAATTGATCATGAAAATCATATTGAATATTTCTTTTTGAGTTGGAGTTAACTTATTTGAAAATGAAACATTAACTCGATTTACTTTGTTCGCTGCCAGTGAGTCGTGCATTTACACTTGTGTAGATTCTCAGGGTGCCAGTAGGTATACATAGACCCTGTAAACCGTTTGTTGTGAGGAAAAATGAAAATAATGAATGATGTTAACAGCCAGAATCAAACAGAAACATAATAAAGACTTTAATTGTAGGCTACAATTTTTTTTCACCTAATATTTCCCAAATGTTCTTATATGTGTAAGCTTTATGGTTATATTTCGTTGGCATGACTGGTGGTTATATCCAAGATAGCAATACAGAAAAATGAACTAATATCAACAGCCAAATTGTATTGTACATCATATCACAGAGATACTGACCAGACACATCCAAGTATTGCATTGATTAAGGTCTGGGTACCTTGACCTAGGATTAGTGGTTTCCCTGTAACATCACCAGAGTCAGTTTGTTAAGTGAACATAACCGAAGGCTGTAAGTAATTTATAGCTTTCAATATCAGTTTACTCTCTGGCTTGGTTCATAAGCATCACTTAAGATTGGGAAATGTTTCTGTTATCAAAAACAAGTTCATATCAATATAGACACCAATGATAAGCCAAATATTCTACTACCACTTCAGGCACATTTCAATATATTTTTAGGTCACCTGAGATAGTGACCCTGATTGACCTCTAGGGGCTGATTGGTGGGCCAAAAGTGGTCAAATTGACTTAAATTTTAAAAATCTTCTTCTCAACATGCAGGTATGGTAGAATCTTCATGGAGGAACTATGATTCTTTATTCTTTATTTATTCTTTAAAGAATAAAGAATCATGGATGTTCACGGAGGAACTGAAAATTACTATTTACCACAATAAATCTCGCATTTCTTCGCGGGGAGGAGGTTAACTTTGCATTTTTGAGCATAATATTGTTTATTTCCCTTTTGAATCATCGTAGGACGACAGTTTGATGTTATACATGTATTGACACTGGCTTTCTTTTATCAATGTCACAATTTCTTTTTCTAGGAACCTTTATGTTCAGTATTACATATCTCGAGTGACAGTCAAGGCCGCTAGACCCCTTGTATTAAAAGAAAACAATATTAATGTTCTATAATTATCTATAATCATAGAAAATATTTTTCTTTTTTTCCCCTGAAGTATAAAAAGTATAAAAGATTTTGTGTCCCAGAGTTATGAATATTTCGTGTTTCTGACAATACCAGGTGTAGAAATATGCAGTAAAGATGCCACATTGTAATGCCATCAGTCTGTCACATGTAGGTGTATTTTTCCAGAATTGTTAATTCTCACCTCTTAATACCACTGTTAGAAAAAAAGAATTTGTCAAATTTTTATTTTGCACTTTATTGAAATGTTTGAGATGTGAAAAAAAAAATCCCAAAAGACAACAACAAAGATTCTAGATCATATGGTTACTCCATTTTTACATTAATTAACCTTACAATTAAAACATTTTCCTTCGTTGGAAATATTTTTATCAGTTATCAGTGAAGGTAAAAGCTTGGCAAGAATACTAGTTAGTAAACAAGAATATTTGTTTATAGGCAAGAGTAGATGGGCAAAACTACATAATGTTAGGCAAGAATAACTTGGCAAGAAAAGTTAAAAGGCACTAACACCCGTCGATAACAACCAGGGCAGGTAATATATATAGACATGTAGTAGATATAGACATGTATATATAGACATGTAGTATATATAGACAGGTAGTATATATATACAGGTTGTATATATAGACAGGTAGTATATATATATACAGGTTGTATATATAGACATGTAGTAGATAAAGACATGTATATATAGACATATAGTATATATAGACAGGTAGTATATATATACAGGTTGTATATATAGACAGGTAGTATATATATATAAAGGTAGTATATATAGACAGGTAGTATAAATAGACAGTTGGTAGATATAGACAGGTAGTAGACAGGTAATATATATAGACAGATGGTAGATATAGACTGGTAGTATATATAGACAGCAGGTAGTATATATAGACAGGTAGTATATATAGACAGGTAGTATATATTGACAGGTAGTATATATAGACAGTTAATATATATAGGCAGTTGGTATAAATAGACAGGTAGTATATATATACAGGTTGTATATACAGACAGGTAGTATAAATAGACAGTTGGTAGATATAGACAGGTAGTATATATATACAGGTAGTATATATAGACAGGTAGTAGACAGGTACTATATATAGACAGTTAGCATATATAGACAGATGGTGTATATAAACAGGTAGTAGACAGGTAGTATATATAGACAGGTAGTATATTTAGACAGGTAGTATAGGTAGACAGGTAGTATATATAAACAGGTAGTAGACAGGTAGTATATATAGACAGTTAGTATATATAGACAGATGGTGTATATAAACAGGTAGTAGACAGGTAGTATATATAGACAGGTAGTATATTTAGACAGGTAGTATAGGTAGACAGGTAGTATATATAGACAGGTAGTAGACAGGTAGTATATATAGACATGTGGTGTATATAGACTGGTGTTTACTAATAGTTGTAGATAGTTGGTTAAATTTACAATGATGTTCAGAGCTCTAGAAAAAAAAAATATATATATATAAGCATTAAACTGTCATGGTATGTCACTTCTCTCAGTAAAGATGTCACAAAACATCTAACTGGTATAAATATTTGCAGTATTCCAAGAGATGATATTAGTTATAAATCAGTTACAGCCCTTTTGACCAGTGATATTTTGGTTCCCATTGTTATATTGATAAATTGCTCAGCATGCAAATTTTCTTGTCCTGAATATGTAACTCTATAAATGTATATATCTAACTTTGTTTTCATGTATATGGTGTATATATACATGCATACATATCCGGTAAGCTGTCCTTTACAATGCTGGAGGAAGTGTATACTAGGAACACTTCATCTGGCCACGACACAACCAGCCTGGTCCTTACACTGTATTTAAGCTTTATTTAATGAATACAAAGGACGCAGATTTGATTTCTGTTGGATATAGTCGTCACTTACTTCCATTGCAGGTTCAGGAAGAGTGTGGGATACACTATAGACGAAAACTGAAGTTAATATACAAAGGTCACGATTTGATACTCCTCCGTGTTTGTAGAATGTGACAGACTGAGATCGGTAAGTGAAGGTTTTTTTTTATTTTCATATCTGTTGTCATCAATAAGGTTAGGAAGATAAAATGTCATTTTGTATCTATAGAACACTTCTATCATTTGTATACCAACCTGTTAAAAAGTGTGAACACAAACACAGGATGTATAGCTTCTTGAGAATGATTTATCAACAAGTAATCAAAATGTAGACATCTTTGCCTCCAGAGAATTTAGATTCAAGATGTAGACTAAAAAGCTTCAGTTACAATAACAAACATGAAAATATACATATATTGCTTTAGGGGATAAAGACACAAGTCTAGTCTCTCAGTGGATACAGTGTGGTACAGCCTTGTGTATCAACCCTATCCAGGATGACTAAACTGGTTTAAGTGGGTACAATTATCTGGGCTTGGTTTACTGGAGTGAGGGATTAGAGTAGACGTGTCTATAATGAGTTACTCCTGGTATTTATAAAAATATTTACTGTAGATATAAAATGTGACACCAATTATTTGTTCTTCCTATTTGAGCCCACCTTATATTGCTGTTTTCAGTTCTAAACTATATCATCCTTGCCCCTATGTAAAAATAGCACTGTTTTTCATATACTGATATTATGAATTCCACTTTTGGCTGAGAATAAAAATATATATATTTTTTCCCCACTGAAATATCTAGTTGGTTTGGTACACATTGCCATTATTTCAAATTTCTTTCATTTTTGTATTATAGTCAAAATGAAATTTTTATTTAATGAGTAAAATTTCCTGATATTGGCTTTGAGAAATTTGATCAATGAAGTTCTACCAAGGTTATTTAAGTTAATGACGAAGAACAGATAAGTTTAGCAAATCTTTGGAGAGAGCACATGGCAACCATATGTTACTGTATGTGTATTTTACATATCACATCTACAGGACCGTTTATGTTCTATGAGTTGTTCCTCCTAATGTGTTTTAACAAATTCCACTGGCCATGTGTGCTGAGTTGATTTGATGTTGGGTGATGTGGAGTTTTGGTTAACACTTTGTTAAAATCGGTTAAGTCTGCATGCTTTCTTCTTTTCTACAGAAAGCACAAATTACTGTAGACTTGATATCAAATTCTGTTCTATTGGGAAAGTGATCAGAAACTAACACCGAAGTTTTCCTTCAACTGTTTAAAAAGTTCAGACTGAAAGCTTTAAATAAATTTTGTTATAAAAAACCTTATCAGTGTTGTACCATGTTTTAAAGGAATCTTAGCATGGAGAGATATGAAACAGATTCTGATAACTTGTGCAAAATAGTGAAGATAATTACTGTAAACCTACAAGTTTTAGTGGTATTGTTATTTTAGTGGTGTCTGCACTGAAGGTACTAAAATATGATTGGGCTGATAACTGTAGCTTTTTAATGCTGCTCATATTATAACTAATGTAGAAACAGAATTTCTGATCGTACTAATTTGCCAAAAAAGTGATAAATGTGTTGAAATTTAATTGTGCCAAATTAAGTCTGTTTGCATATCATTGGCATAGTATGTACAAGAAACATTTGTTTGAACCCTGTAGAGGGTCAACATGAAATGTCTGTATGGTGTAAGGATTACAGCACCCTGTAGAGGGTCTGAATGAAATGTCTTTATGGTGTAAGGATCACAGCACCCAGCAGAGGGTCTGAATGTCTGTATGGTGTAAGGATTACAGCACCCTGTAGAGGGCCTGAATGTCTGTATGGTGTAAGGATGACAGCACCCTGTAGAGGTTCTGAATGTCTGTATGGTGTAAGGATTACAGCACCCTGTAGAGGGCCTGAATGTCTTTATGGTGTAAGGATTACAGCGCCCTATAGAGGGTCTGAATGTCTGAATGGTGTAAGGATTTCAGCACTCTGTAGAGGGTCAACATGAAATGTCTTTATGGTGTAAGGATCACAGCACCCTGTAGAGGGTCTGAATGTCTGTATGGTGTAAGGATTACAGCACCCTGTAGAGGGTCTGAATGTCTGTATGGTGTAAGGATTACAGCCCCATGTCGAGGGTCTGAATGTCTGTATGGTGTAAGGATTACAGCACTCTGTAGAGGGTCTGAATGTCTGTATGGTGTGAGGGTTACAGCACCCTGTAGAGGGTCTGAATGTCTTTATGGAAGGCACATCTTCATGGGGTACCTGGGGTAAGTCTTTCTTGATGTAAGTCTTTGCCAGTGTGAGTTTTTCCTTGGATAAATCTTTCCTGGTATAAGTCTTTGCCAGTGTAAGTCTCTTCTTAGGTGTAAGTCTTTTCCAGTGTAAACCTCTTCTCAGGTGAAAGTCTTTGCCAGTGTAAGTCTTTGCCAGTGTATGTCTTTCCCCTCTAACTATTTTGTTATCTTTTGGTTACCATGGTAGTGAAACTGGTAACAGTTACTTCCTCTGAAATTCGAGACACCCTTAGTTACCTTTCTAACTATTTTGGTATATTTTGGTTACCATGGTAGTGAAACTGGTAACAGTTACTTCCTCTGAAATTCGAGACACCCTTAGTTACCTCTCTAACTATTTTGGTATATTTTGGTTACCATGGTAGTGATACTTGGAACAGTTATGGCCACTAAAATAAGAAACTCTTCAGTAATTGTTATAGCATCATTTGGTTAATATTTCTTAAATATAAAACTGTCAGTATAGAATGTTTACCATCAAGGAAAATATCATAGCAATACAGTCTAACCTGTATTAAATGGCCACCGTGGGGAAATTATGAAAGTGGCCTTTATAGAGAGGTTGCCTCTTAATTGAGGTTCCTTATTTTCGAACCCAAGTTGCGGCAATTTGCACATTGATATTTGAATACAGTTTAATAATCAGGATTGTCACTGTCTTCCTGTACTTGGGAATTTGTGGTTCGGTCTGAGTTTGTTTGCTGCTCATATTTCGAAGTGAATTGCCACAATAGTAATAAAATGCCTGTATTATGTATACTAGTGACGTAAATGAAATCAAACTCAATATAAAATGCATGGTGAATTGTGTTTACGTGCCATCAACTGTTTTCTTTGTAGGAATGTTCACGTGGCGAGAAAACGTGACTCGCAGTCAAGAAAGCTTGTCAAATGACTTGTGGTCAAAACGGCCGTTTAAACGAGGTTCGATCGCAAGATTGGGGCGAAAAGGGTGGCCGCTGGCCACATTAGACAGGTGGCCGTTAAATTAGGTATCATTAATGAGCAAAAACGATTGGGAGGGTCTGAAAACGGCCATTATAAGCAGGTGGCCGTCTAACTAAGGTGGCCGTTATGACAGGTTAGACTGTATTTGGTTATTAAGCCTGATGAGGAGTTTTCATTGGTCAAGTTTCATTCCTCTTCATTAGCCAAAAGTTCATCTGTATATGAAAATTATGTAACTCAATTGAGAATGTAGAAAGGAGCCTTATAATTTATCAAATCTGAAAGCTTGATACTTCGGGGCTAAAGGTATAAGCCAAGGATAATATCATAGCAATATTTGGTTATTAAGCCTGATGAGGAGTTTTCATTGGCCAAATTCATTCCTTGTCACTTGCCAAAAGTTCATGAAAATTATGTAACTTGGACAACTCAATTGAGAATGTAGAAAGGAGCCTTATACTTAATCAAACCTGAAAGCTTGATACTTCGGGGCTAAAGGTATAATCATAAATTTGTTAATGAACAAATTACATGCCACTAGCACAGCTGATAACCGACTCATTAACAATACAGATTTGAGTTTAGTGTTGACTTGGGACAGGGCAGAATAATTAGGTTAAACATAAAAGATAAAAACATTAAGATCAGCTGAGTGTAAACCAATAAACTATTGATATAATTGATCATATTCTTAACACAGTTTGTCTTGTGAAATAGGCCTTTATTGAATAAGTGTTGATGGTTTTTATCATCTTAATATTTTGAAAGGAAAAATATGTTTCAGCTGATATCTGTATTTTTTTTTTTTTTTTTGCCTGACTTAACAAAAGTGGTCTGTATCTTTTTTGTATGGATGATGCCATACAAACCTTATTTATGAATTTCTATATATGAACTTAGCGTTAAAACTTTGTTTATTTCCTGGATTCATCGTCCTTTGAACAGCCACTGAAATTGTAAGGGAGGTCTTCCTGTAGTAACATAATATCTTCCTACAACCAGGACAATCAGGTCTGTAATTCCAGCTTTTGAGAAAACGAACAGAGTTATCACAGTCATCTTATTCAAGAGAGCCACTGCTAACATTGGTACCAAGAGCTGTGTTGCATCTCATTTGGTTGAACCCTGACCTAAGCAACTTCAAGTAAAGATCTGAAGTGAGTGGTTGAGCACTCATTACCAGTGGTGGTTTGTAAGCTGAAAAAGGAACCAGTGTGAGCTGATACGGTTATGTCCCGAGGCAAGACACTTTGCCCTTATTGATTTAGTTGACAAGTGGCAGGCCTCCTGTATGTTGTTCAGTGAGGTAGACAATAATTACTACAAGGAGATACTGCCTTGGGATGGACCTGGCTGTTCACAGGGTGATTAAACGAACAAATTAAAAAAAAAAACAGCAAACAAACTTTTCATTTCTGTTTCAAGTGATAAAGATGCTTTCATATTCTTGGTCTTGGTATTATAAATGAAATCAAATTTATATGTTAGCATATCACATGTATGTCAAATATATTTGTATACAAAAGTGAAAGTATAGAGAATGATGTACACTATTTTCTACCACTGTTCCCATTAATACAGTGACAGTTAATATTGCCAATTAACTCATCTATGATAGATAGTCGGCTTTTAGTTGCTGTCAATATTTTCATTTCCATAATTGTACTGACATCAAGTCTTTATGTAAAAAGTTATAGGATGGGTTTTATAGGAAACACAATCCATTGATTCCTTTGATAGAACACACCGCTACACTTCACTGATCTCAGAGTTATGCAAATTGATCATAAGATTCATTTCAATGAAATATAGATTTATGATAATAAACCTACAATCTCTCTTTGACTTTCATGACAATAGAGCTGGCAAGAGGTGTTTATTTTTATCTTTGT